GAGAGATTTACACCGCGCGGGGAGGGGGGACATTGATCAGGCAACTCTAATCTTAGGTGCAGATTTGAACGTAATCAGAGAGCTCAGGCTCCTGTCTCTACGACCTGAGCGATGTGTGAACGTTCACTCAGTTACCTCTCAGATAGATGCTTTCTGCGTTTGAGCCCACCGGACGATTCGTGCAATATGGGAGTCCGATCTTACGGAACGCAGACATTTTCGAGCTTAACCAAAAAGCAGTCAGAACCACACTCCAATCAACTAATAATTTAGCAATTAGGAGCTATTTTAACGTGGTTATGATTTATTTGGTTGTTCATACATTGAATCGAGTGGTGGTTTATGGAGAAATTTACGGAAAGGTGAGTGAGGAGGCCCTCGAAACTCTACCCATTGCTGAACACGCTAACTTGCCTACTAACAAGTAGACAGTAGTAAGAGTCGGAGTGAGAAATTTGATAAAAGCAAAGAGGCCCGCATGTCGAATGCCCGAAAACGAGCGATGGAAATTTTCCCGGTGTCAGCGAAAGCACGTAAATATCAACTGACGTAAGAGCCTACTTAGAATGTGACTTGGGCCGTCGGGGAATTTTTCGCTCAAGTGGTCATTGGTATCACGGTATATTCCCGTACGTTTGGGTTGCTACAGAATCTCGGTAATCGGAATTTAACAGAACAGGTGGATTGAAACAAAATGACTTTAGTGGTTCGTTCACCTCTTTTGGACAATGCAAACGACTGTTAGCACCATTGATCCTACGTTCTTCAAATATAGGCTCTGATTTCCACTAACTCAGATAAACAATGGCCTGAGCTGGGACTGAATTGAAGCAAGTCAGAAGGGCTCATGATCTAATGGTATGACAGCAGGCCATCTCGGACGTGAGGAGCACTCGTCTAGAAATTGACGATGTGACGGTAAAAGCACGTTTGAGGACACATCGCTAGCCACCAGTGATCGACATATGGTTAACAAAAGGATTCCACACAACGGTAGCAAGATCCGATCACAAACCTCCACATCACGTCACACTTTCTTCACCTCCGTGTGTCTACCTTGCTGGTCTAACGCATGCGAATAGCGTGTAGAACAAACGTTTTTCCGGTATTCATAAGAATTATAAGTCATATCAGACGGTAGAGTGAAATGGTTTTGTGTGAGACTATCTGCCACCGAACATAGGTCAGCACTTCTATCGTTCCTCATACGATGTTCCAACCTCGCGTTCAAAGCACATGCCATATCTAGCAATCCTAATTGTTAAGCGGCTTAGGGTCATTATCTTCGAGCAAACACCAGAACGCTTAGACAAATTGGCATAGACCAATGCCTGGACAAAATAAAAAAAGGTGAACCAGTACGATATTGCATCAACCCTCATCGTCTACCGCTGTTTGGCAGGGGATCAGTCTGAATCCAGATTGGAATCGATGAGGGTTTACTCCAAGTAGTGCGTGTAGTTCGTTCTAACGAGAAGCATGCTTGTAATTCTTGAAGTACTCGCTGATCAGGAATTAATAATCGTGTAAGCACTGAATTACACTGGCACTTACACAACTACCTCACGCAACCGAATCGCAAGAGAAGGCCCCACAAGTAGCAGTTCATTTATTGGTAGGAACCATTCACACGGAATAATATGTACAAAAAACGTTCACTGGTCATCCAGGCATCCACCAATTGAAGGCTATAATTCCTGGAAGCCTACAGGTTCTCTCAGGGCCACACGGTTTCTAATTTGTCGACAGACTCGGACTATAGTTCGTACCCAAGAACCTGTAACCAGTGAGCGCTCTTCTGGCGTCACATGCAAAGCTAGACGCGCCACAAATTGTACGGAAACTGTAACGGTTCCACCCGCAAGAAATTCAAGGAGGCAGAGGACCCATTAGAAAGTTCAATACAAAAGAATAAAATTTAAAAAACAAACAAACACCGCACTCAGAAGAACACACGAAACATGCACCACCATACAACACACGCGCATCACAAACAAACCAGTGGACTCATCCAAGAAAAAGAAAGCAAAATACATTCAACCGAAGTTCAACCAACTATATCCAAAAACAATGTGCATCAATCAAGCAACATGGAACACACAAAACCGTGGAAGAAAAAAATCATTTCACACTCATCATCAATCATCAGCGTCAAACGCCACACAAATCAATCTCAACGACAAACCAAACCAATCGAACCAATTCGATGCACGGAAGTAAGTAAGCGACAGCAACAAACAATACCTCCTTCGGAACGGATTGCGAATAACGCAACAACCTGTCTGTCCATATCACTATCATCAACAAGGTCGCTGAGCAACGACATGGTCAAGATGTGCGAGTGGAAAATTACAACCACATTCGCTAAAAATAGCCAGGGGAAAACAATCACATTCGTCAACACAACCACCAGTACAAAGCAAAATAACACACAAACACAACCAAAAA